TGAAGGAAGAACAGCACTTCCAACCGATACTCACAACGAGGAAAATGGACGATCGACCAGCCCATACTACAACCCGGTCCGGTCGTCGAGTACATTTCCCTAGCTATATCCGAGCAAGCTAATCCACATCGTTCCTCACTGGAAGGGGGGTCCTGTGGGAACACTCGGTATAGCAAGAAAACATTTATTGTTGTGTATCAATTAAGCGTCTACATTTGTGCTGACTTAGTTAGGTCGCGACACACTGCGACTAACTAGGTCAACGGCAAATACACACACAAATGTAAAGTGCTGAAATGTTCTTTGCAATTTAATCCATGTAAATAAATTTTGTATAAGTACTCTGTAAATATCGAAATAAAATTAGTCTAACACCAGGCTCGCTATTATTGTATACTGCAACAGTATCAACTCCAGAATATCGACCATCGGATGCTGTACCAGTGCTACGTCTCATCTTAGGCACAGCAATGTGTCCAACGCTTTTGTAAATCGGTTCTTCTCAGAACCACAACTTGCTAGTCACATCTCTCTTACCACGACCACACAGGGTGACTACACTAGTATCTCAAAAGTAGAACTGGTACGGTCCAAGGTTTATCAAATCTGTAGTACTTTGGACAGCTTACCCTTTTTTTTTTCTAACGGATTTTGTTCTCTGTAGAAAACCACAAATTTTAGCAATTTATTATATAGTTGAACACCTGATCCTTACATATGTGCACATTTAACAGGTCTTATTCTTATCACTTATTTATTAAAAATGTAACTGTTAAAAACTGGTCTAGCTACAACAGGTTCCCCATCCCATGAGGATATTCAATAAGTTGCGGGGAAAAATTCAGGACATCGTACCTAGAGCTTACAGAAAAATTCAATGTGGGCAATTCGTTAGCTTGGAAAGTTAAATTAAGTAAATGGGTATCACATCTAACTGTCAACAACAAATTAAGTCGTCTTATCGTTTCTTCGGAAATTTTTTTTCGCAACGATAAGAAACCATTTCTTGATCAGTTGCTAACCCGTTATGAAAAGTGGGTATTGTGCTCAAATTCAAAGCGTTCGTGATATTGGTTGTCGTCGAATGATTCGGTTCCATACACTCCCAAACCTGAATTGAATCTAAACAATATTGCTTGTTGGTGGGCATCAACCGGAATGGTCCATTATGAATACAAGTAGCGCCCATCAAAAAAAAACTTTCTTTGATCAATCGAAAGAAAGTGAAATTCCTACAGTATAACACCAGGCCGCATTCCACAAGAGTTACCACACCCTCCACTTTCACAAAATGATTACCATCTGCTTTGTTTCCAGACAATCATATGAGGCGTAGGCAGCTCAAAACTCGTCATTGTTTAATTCCAAATGCAATACTACCACACAGAACTTGAAGTAACGATGGCAAAAAGCTGTTAAATGTGGTGGTAATTATTTCGATAAATAGTAGTGTGTAATTTATTCTTAATCAATATTTATACTTTACCATCAAAAACTTATTTGGTTACCTGATACCAACAGTGGGCAAGGTACTATAAGAGCTCGCTTAAAAGTACAGTGGAGTATTTGTAAGGTATGTCCCCATGTTGACGTCTTTAGATGCTGCAAGTATTACGACTTCAGTCACATAGCTGCAGTGTGCAGAAACGACGACATTTACAATAAATAAGGGAGAGGCAGATATGAACATAATTAGAATACCGAGTTTAAATGCCTAAATTGTTCAAGTTTAATTTAATTTGGAATGAGATGTAAATTTTTCGACATTCTATAAAAACTGTGTAGTGTAGATGCATACAAAAAAAACAATAAGTGGATACTAGAGACCGATAAGCAGCACTTAAAAGATGTTAATTGATTGGATTGCTGCTTCAATGTCAAATGTGTTAAAAAATAAAGACGAAATATTAAATTTTATAATTGATATAAAACCTGTAATAACATGTATGACAGAAGTCCATGTAATTACCAAAAATTGACGACTGTGAGTTTAATATAGAAAATTTCAATTTCGTACTAGTTGTCACATATACCAGACATACAAGTGGAGTAGGTAGTCGAGTTAAAAAGAATTGTATTACTAACTTTCGAAGTAAGAATAGATGGCACCAATTACATAATTAGTGGCTTATGACATTCTCTGAAAGTAAATCATACAAAATTTTTAATATGACACAGCGTGAAAACAATGTCACCATAATGGGTGATGTTAACCTAACTGGGCCAATGATGGTAACATTTACGTTAAAAGGCTGAAACAAATTATTAATTATATAAAATTAACATAAACAGTAAATAATGATACTGGAATTACGGAAGTCCCAGGAACTGCTATAGATTTGACGTTTATAAATTAATGTTTATTAAAATATATCATGTGAAATGCAAAATAGATATATTATGTTAGATCAGCAGATATTATAGTTTTAAAACGTTATTTTATTTTTTTCCTTAATGCATGTACATGCATGTGCACGTGTTCCTGTTCCGGCAGTTGTGATGAGAAACTTCCACATAGACCTAAGTATGAGAAAGAGGGTGCCGTATGCAATTGTAAATGAATTTCTGGCGTGGCTCAGGTATTAATTACTTTGGATACACGTAGATAACATCACCAGTGTCAACTAGAAACTGTTGGTGTGTAATTATGTCCGTAAAGGAGAGGTTATGTGTGGGGACATCGCTTGTCGCCATTAGTAATCTCCTGTATGGTTTTCCGGTCACATAGAGCATGATGGGAGAAAACCTCAACATCTTTTATAGTTTCATTCAGTAAGATTGATTAATGTGGTAAATTACGATGGTATTCTCAATAGAAGGTCCACATGTGTTCGACGACGTTGACGCATATCTATAAGAGCTGGTTAAAATCCTACCATCACCTGTTTAAGTTATAAGAACTACAGTACATTTGCAGTAGCGAGAAAGGTTGCTGAAAAAGGGTGAAACTATTTAGAAGACTGAGTATGTACACGAAGAGTACTAAATAAAAGAAAGTAACAAAATCAATGATATACCCCAACGTGGAACAATAGTCCAGTTGTGCTAGGTGATTTGAGTTTGAATACAAAAGTAATATATGTGTATGCACGTAAATATGCATATATCGTGCGTATTATGTGAATGCACGCTGTACTGAGTGTACTCACAACGGGAAGCAAAATGTCGTTGGATACGTTAAAAACGATCCAACGGGACTTGAACTTTGACGAAACTCTTGTACAAACTAGAGTGGGTGGATAGGCTTGCGAGTTTCGATGATTTAGGGAGCCGCACCATAGGTTCAACCATAATGGAGGGGTGCTTAAAGAAAAACCAGACCAAGACAAGTCCCTGAAAGAGGGCAGCAGCCCTTTCAGTACTCGGGGTGGCAGAGAGCAGGAGGATCGGTATGGCACCCTGATGCACAATACTGCGATGTGGAAAGCAACGGGAAACCACCACATTATGATCCCGAATACAAAGTACGCAAAAATTAAATGATGGCGTCCTCTGGGGTAAAGCACTCCGGACGTAAACTAGTCCCCCATTCGAATGTTCGAGCGGGGAATACCTCGGGGGATGTCATCAATAAGTGCAATAGGGATAGGTGCGTGGAATGTTACAACAATGAGGCAAGTAGGAAAATTAGACAATTAAAAGTAGAGATGGATAAATTAGAATTAGATATAGTAGGTATTAGTGAAGTCCGTTGGCCCGAAGCTGGAGACTTCTGGAGTGGGGACTTTAAAGTAAAACATACAAGATCGGTAGAAGGTAATTCGGAGATAGGAATTGTAATGCGTAGGAAAATGGGGCAGAGTGTAGAAGGTTATTTACAAAAAAGCGATAGGATAGTTATGGTTAAATTAAACTCAAAGCCGGTAGGAACGGTATTAGTGTAGGTCTACATACCTATATCATCTTACAGTGATGAAGACTGATGATAGAATTTTGCGATAAAGATAACTTAACCGTCACGAATACTTTATTCAACCAACAAGTTAGGAGACGCTATACGTGGAAGATGCCAGGTGATTTAGGGAGATATCAGTTAGATTACATACTTGTTAGGCAAAGATTTAAAAATCAAGTGAAGGACTGTAGGAGTTATCCAGGAGCAGATCTAGATAGCGATCACAACTTAGTAGTTATGAAGACCAATCTTAAATTGAAAATTTCGGAAAGGAGGGAAGGTAGGAGACGTCTCGACAAAAAAAAGCTAAAATGTAACGAAACGCGTGATAGGCTAGGTACAAGGACAGACGAAATACTAAAGGAGACAGGAGAAACGAATGACCGGGATATAGAGACAGAATGCAACTACATTAAAACGTGCCTAAAGTCAGCAGCTACAGATATACTAGGTCTTAAACAAAACGAAAGTAGGAAACCCTGGATAACAAATCAGACTGTACGATTAATAGAAGAAAAGCGGGAATATAAAAACAGAACAGACGAAGAAGGTCAAAAAAGATA